TTGGTTTAACAACTTTAATTGACTGGACTTAGTTTCCATGTACAATTGGGACCACACAGACAGAGATGACAAACATATTTTTAAATGATATTCCTTTTTTACAGCCTTTAGGTTGGTACGAAATCGAGGGAAAGGGCTAATGTTAGTTAGCTAATGTTAGTTGGCAAATGTTATCGAAATGTTGCTAACATTTAGCATGTGTTATTTACATGCATAAAAGTTACATTTGTTTCCCATTTTATTAACCAAGTTATCCATTGCCACTTAAAAAGGGTCATAAGGTTAGTTTTAAACTACCTCTGGCTTAATTTATTTGTTAATTAAATAGTTAGCTAAGTTCATGCTTCATGCTACTCGCCTCGAAAAGTGATGTAATTAGAAACAGTAGCAAATAAGTGTTCAATAAAAAAAATTAATAGTGTAAGACTAAACAAATTATTTTGTGATACATTCAATATTTTCTTGAGGTTAGCATGATGAAATTTGAACTGACTTGTAGTGCCAGGCCGAGCCTTAATTTACCCATAGTGGTAACATACCATGATGGGGCTGATCTTAGGTAAGTGAGCATGCATGGGACTGTAGGGTGGGTTCATGCTAGCTGTAAAGTAGAATAAGAATGCCATGGGAGGCAAGAATATCATTGTAAAATACATTTTGAGGAGGAAGCCATAGCTTGGGACACACTGAATGCACAGGCAGATGACAAACAGGAGCCCACCAGATAATTTAAAAACTGCGATTTGAGGATCACCAACCTGACTTATCAACTCAAGGAGCCCCGATGGGCCGCGTTCCACCTGATTTCTCCGTGAGTACGCATCTCCAACACGAAATGGTATGGGGTACGGAAGTGTATGTGGGTGTGGGTGTAGGAGTGGAGGTGGGTAGCAATTGCCAATCAATTACGGATTAAAACATGTTAATGAAATTGTTCTAGGCGAGGGTTGACTTCCATGTCAACCTGGCTCTCCTACATTTGTTTGTTTCAGGCAATTTCAATTTGTTACAATGTCTCCGACCATGTCCTCCTGCTTATAAAATATACTGAGGAACAAAGGTGGTTTTGTCAAACTTGGTTGCTCTTGTTATATGGATGTCAGTCCCATCAGTTCCTAATAAAAGACACCTCAGGCTCCCAGGGGCCAGAGTCTGGCTACTGTTCCATTAGTAACCTCAGTCTCCAGCCAGACAACCATCCTGGCCTGAGCTGCTGCCAGGAGGAGAGACCAAAAAGAGGAGGAAAGTACACCGACTCTCCCAAAGAGGCAGGACAGATGCCAAAGTAATTCCACAACATGTGCTGACATTAAACATTGCTGCATATTAACTTTCCATATGTATTGCAACTCAGCGTTTTTGCAAATGCCCGCAAAAGAGCCCTAGAAAGGCTCTTTGTCTTTGCGCTGTCTGAGGATTAATTTGCTATTCTCGTATTTCATCTTTCCATTCGGTTGGTGGAGATATGTGAGAGGAGACGTTAGACTCCTCTCACGCTGCCAGAGAGCTTTCAGAAGGAAAATAATCTGAGGGTTTCCATACCATATTTCCATATTTGCCATTATACTGGATTGAAATGTTTGCATATGAAATTACTTTGAGTCATTTTCTGTCAAAATTCCTGACAGATTGTTAACAGTCTATGACATGTTGGCCCTTGTGATATGTACAGTAAAGTGCATTTAATAGGTGCTAAAACAATAGTAATATGAGCACAAAATCCAACAGGGATAGTCACAAGATTATACATACAGTTTTGAACCCTTTGGATATAACCATTTATTAGACTTTCTACCAAACTTAATTGCCTAACATAGCACTACTTTTACGCTTTTTGCTGTTTTTTATGTATTTTAAATTATTGCACTCTGTTTCCGCTATAGTACAACTATGATGTTGCTTAAGTAATTTAATACGTTAAAGCACTGTATTTACTTGCTGCCACAGGACGAGATTTACAACATCCTACTACAACCTCAGCATAAATATATGATGAAGTATTTAAATGCCTAATTAACAAGAACTTGGCAATGTTCCAAATTTTGCTTTGGAGAAAGTGCACACGCTTGCTGTCATTAAATTGAAACGACAGCAGCTTTCCTAAGACATTTATGGGTAAACACTTTTATTCTACTCTGTGCCCTGCTGTTAAATGCATTTAATAAGAAATTGGAAATGAAATAAACTTGCAAGTGTGGTGTTTTTTTATATTTACATTTGTGAACATGGCTCCAGAATTATTGATTTAATCCAAAAGAACAAAACCATACAAGTAAATGAGATCTGGATTTGGATTTGACATTAAAGCCTGTCCACACAGATAAATCGGACAAAGTACGCTGCAAATGAGGGATAAAAGCATTACAAATTAAGTCAGTAGTCCAAAATGCACATAGTCATATAACATACACATGAACCAAGAATAACTTTATTTAGTTTATCAATACAAAGAGTTCAGTGTCAATGAGATGACTCTTTAAAGTGACTAATCCCTGTAACATAGAGAACCATTGGAGGTGTACAGGAGAAAGAAGAGAAGGAAGAGATAAAGAGACAGAGTGTATGTGAGTGCCGTGAGGCCAAGTGCTTTCTTTTACCTTGGGCATCTATGGTGGAGAGCAGGGCTGCAAAGAATGCAGCCGCGGCCAGTGACAGCCCTATTTTCATGTTTGGTCCTGAACGGTCAGCAGAGCATCAATCAGTCTGATGATAAAGAGAAAATATGTTTTTAGGATGCAGGTTTATTACAAGCTCACTGTCAGTGTGGGCATAGGCAGCAACACATGCAGGTGATACATTATGACTAATATACCGCTGTATTGAGATTTAACATGAGCTGAAGAACACCCAGTTTGCGCTTCATTAAAAGTACATAGTGCATTTAAAATAATATTTTTCTGGAATAAATAATCATAGCTCCTATTATTCAATCATTACTCTCCTTAATGACAGACTGCAAGATCCATCTAGACTTTGTTACACAACAACTGCCACACCTGACTGCTTAGTTGATTCCCACACCCTGAGGTGTGTACTTATTGTAGGTATTTGGTAATGAGGGATTTAGAAAAACTGTTTTACACATGTTCATCCGTCTGATTTTCTTAAGTATAATCTGGGACTCTTTTGCCTTCTAGCTCTCCTGATTGTTTTAGTGGGTCGCTATGTAGCTCACACATAGTATAGTCTTTCCTTTGGTTCTACCTCACTTTACAGGGATGATGTCTGGTTGAAACTCTTCATATAATTCATGCAACTTAATGATATTTTATATGTGTCTAAATGTGTAAAATATTGCAGTGCATTTTGATTGAAAGTCATTTTGAACAAAATAAGTTTTATATACATTTCAAAAATCCAACCTTAATCCTCTCCTTCAATTACACTAGATCTATTTCTTTATGGTTAAATCCAGTTACAGAAATCAATAATGCTTTACACAGACTCAGCTAAGAGCATTTAAATACAATACCGAAATGAATACAACGTATGCAATGGGGTTACTCTTTTTACTTCAATAAAAATAAGCCACAAAAATAAACCACATCCACACAGTATCCCTTTTTTGCTGAAAGTGTCTTTAAATGTATCCTACCACAGGCTGTGCGCACCGCCTGGTGCACGAGCAGGAATACTGCAGCCAAAGGGACCAACATTACTCTGTTGGCCCCTCGCACACAATTGGGGTTTAATCTAATTTAAACTGCAAATAAAGCCAAAAAGCTTGCCTATTAATGCATTATCACAAAACAAATGTGCCTAGACATTACATAGACTTTGCTTGTCTTTGACTGTTGAAGTTGCAATTGCATTCAGCTCAGTTCAATAACGTGATTAAAAAGATCTTCGAAAGTAATTTATCTTAAAAAAACGACGTTAAGTTAGATTGAGCACAGTGATTAAGTTGGTGTGAAATGCATCCTCCCACAGTAAAAAAAACTGCGACAAAAATCAACATATTCTGTCAAATGTATTGAAACATAAAGTAGTGATTTGTATTGTTAAAGCTCCGATAATACACTTTTGAAAATAAATAAAAGTAAGTCAACTTACCAATTCAAACCCCCCAAAAAATGGACAGAGCAAATGTGAGAGCAGCCTGCTTGAAGCCTCCCCCTCTGGAAAGTAAAGTAAGAATTTCAGGAGCTGCGGCTGGACCCCTCTCCTCTCTCTGGCTACTGGAGGCTCCAACAGCAGATGTCCAAGAAGGAAAACCCTTTCAAAGTGGGAAGAATCTTTCCACCATCGGCTACTTAATATGGGGGGCAGTTCCAACTCTCAGTTTACCATCATATGGGTGTCTTACGAAACTCTGCCCGTCAGTTGATGCATGTCCCCCGCAGAGACCGATCCAATGTTTGGAAATGACATTTTTTCCTGCATTCTTTTGGTCTGTTGATTTAATGAGTTTCCAATTCCAATGTGAATTTCACAGCAGGGCAACATTTGGCCAGACGGCACTAAGAGGAAGAGAAGTGTTTTATATGCGCAACAGGCAACCTTATCCAATTTATTTACTCAGATGTGGACTGAAATGAAAGCTTTAGGTTTTAAGAAACCTCTTGGCTATTCGTGTCATATGTGGATTTTCTCACAATGCGTTCAAGATGCTTGAATACACCACAATACATTTAATAAGGTTAGCCCATATATTCCATAAGTTTATAAATAATGTGGGAACCAAAGGAACATTAATTTTGCTGGAGAAATCGAAGTATTTCAGAAACAGCTGAAAGTAATTGCCACCGTGAGCCTTCTGACTGGTTTGTATTGCCCTCTAGTGCTCAAATCAGAGACCTGCAGTAGATACATTTTTTTGGATATGTAGGAAATCCAATCTAGTCTTCATAAATATACACAGGTTACTAACGGACAACAATATCCTACTTTAAATCTGTTGGTGAAGAATACATATCTATTTTCTAATGCATTAGACTCAATGGAAGCGTGTTGCAAAGTTTACATCTACAGCAGGGATCCATTTTTTAAAAGTGACACAATTTCACAAGATATATATTTTTATTATTATCAACAGCTCATGATTTGTACAGTCAATACATACATCAAACATGACACATATTGATAGTATTGATAGAACAAATAATGTCCAAGAATACAAATCTGAGCAGCACAGACTTGATGAGTGAGCAGCGAGTGCATGATTGTTCCGTCAGATAGTCCGATCCTGTTTCACTATGCCTTCTTGGGCATCGCAGCAGTAAACAGCTCGTACACCACATATCCACTCCCTGTGGAGAGAGCAGACACGTATTACAGATGTGCCGGAGATACAGTACAACACAAGCATTTATCTTGACTTCAAACAACCCTTCATGAGGCATCGTGCAATTATAGTTATTTGACTTTCCAAGTCAGTTTCAGTAATAACATTGGGGTCAGGCCACTGGCATGAGATGTTTCCCTTGAATAAAGACAGACTGAGACATGCAGAGTGAGCCTGACTCATCAAATCTCAGACAAATGCTGACTTACCAAATACAGTGAGAGCCATTGTGAATCTGTAGATGAGAGCGTCCTTCACCCCGCCCTTCAGATGGATAGGTAAACCGTTGTCCTCCTGCATAGAAAGTCAAGGCGTACAGTTATTTCAGAAGAGACATGTCAACTTCAAGGGTATGTTGAGGACTTTGTTGATCTTTCTATGGTATTCAAATTGTTGTAGGGCTCATCTCTGGTTAACCATAGCAATTAAGTGGTGACGTACAGTAAACTGTGCAATGAAGCAGTGCTTGCTCTAGGATTTAGAAGCAAGGATAGGCCATTTGTCAACTACGGCCACTGTAATTCCTAGCGCTATGCATGGATCAGCAAAAGCCTGCCACATTGGAACGTTGGTTTTGCAATGGCTTTTTAATTAGCGGCTCGCAAGCATAATTAGTATAACTCCAGCCTCAGCTACAGGCGAAGGTCATCCAAACACTGCAGTGTGGAAACCCTCTTATCTGTCAGGCTACAAACAGGATAACATTTGATTCTGTCTCCAGAACCTGGGAATAAAATAGAAACTTTAACATTATCATTATAAAAACAAAGAACATATAATTACCTTCAAAGTATGACAAAAGGTGCCTAAATTAAGATTTCATTTCACAGTTATAAAGAATGTTTCATACCAACAATGCTTCACTAGACATCAGACATTGACTTTTTTGTTAAGTGAGAACATACATTTCACTTCACATTTATGATATTACCTTTGCTCAGATGTATCATTAAAAGTGTCAGAAAGAAAACTCTTAGTAAGACTAGACTACTCCTGTGGTTTACAGGAGTCAGACAGCATCTGAAACACTGTTACAAAGCTCAAATGGGAAATTAATGTGATTATAATGTTTAGGAATGTCATATAGTTTTCAAAAACATTACCTGAAACAGTTTTTGTTTTTCCTTCACACCGTTATCAGCCTGTCTGCGGGCACTGCTTGTGATGGTCCGCCTGGAGAGCAGCCGAAGTCCCTGTTGGGGAAATCTCTCAACTGAGTATTTTTCAAGTTTAAAGGTCCCATGACATGCTTTTCGGGTTATTACCCGTCCCCTTGTGTGTTATGTAGCTTTTTCTGCATGTAAACGGTCTGCAAAGTCACAAACCCTCAAAGTACACCCTGTAGCGAGTAAAACTCTAACACAGAAAATACCTGTCTATGCTGCCCCAGAACGCCTCGTTGGAGATTTTTCTTTTTCCATTTTTTTCTTCAGTGACGTGACCATACCCAAATGGACCAATTGGTCCAAATGGACCAATCCGTGGAGCTCCTCACACACCAGGATCCCTTGGCGTTACTATCAAACGCAGTGGGGGGACCTTTAGCGTCGAGCATAGAGCTCCCTGAACGTTGGTAATAGACGAGTTGGGATTGCGGAGAAACACTCACTCAGCCTTGTCTTTTCTCAGCCGCGCTACTCTGCGGAGTCTCGTCGGCACATACACTGACTCAGCCTTATCTTTTCTCAGGCCGTAGTGTTTGGCGAACTGTGTGGCGAACAGCCAGGCTGTGAGTTTATGTGTGTGCTCAGGCTGAGTTTTGCGGTGTCTTGCTGTCTCGCAGACCCCACGCAGCAACCAGGAAATGACACCAGTAATCCAGCTCACACTCGAGCCTCAAAGGGCGGAGCAGCGAGCCCCGCAACGTCCCGCCAACACGGCACCCAGACCCCATGCAGCATTCTCATGTTTGTCATTACTGGTGTCATTTTCTGGTTGCTAACAAACGCCATTGTAACACATAATCACTGATGTTCCGCTGTAACGGTGGTGGACTCATCAGAACAGAGTGGGCGAGCTGACCAATCAGAGCACAGTGGGCTCATAGGGAGGGGGGGCAGGAGCTCCAACAAGCCGTTTAGGACAGAGTATAGAATACACATACTATACAGAGATGCTGTATGAGAAACCAATGTGATTTTGGAACATTGAACAATGTAAATCTATTCTAGTAGACCTCAACAATGGAATTATGATCAGTAGAAATGGCCATGTCATGGGACCTTTAAACAATTATAATCTAATCATGACTAACAGTATATGATGACACAAAAAGCAAATTGTGCTCAAAATAGTTCCCTTTTTAAATGGTCTCAACGGTGACATCTTATGGCCGACTCTCTGCATTGCACTTGTATGAAGGGTTACATACAAGACTGAGTCAAATCAGAGGTCACTGCTGCCACTGTTGATCATATAGCTCAAAATGGTGGTGCTACATACAGTCAAAGATTATAGGTACACAATATCATGATTAATGGTTTGGCAATATGTTTAAAGTATCCTTTTACGGGAATGCACGTGGATGGATTAATGGTACACATTATAAAAAAGCGGGTGTTAAACAGCCCTACCTAAATGTAATCATGACTTACCTGAAACTTTACCTCGATTTTTCTTTAAAACTCTGTCTGTCACACCACCACACTGTATACAGTAAACGTTATACATTATGGAGGGATTGCAAGTTTCACATGATGTGGCAGGTTGACAAGCACGTCCCTGATTCATGTTTATAGTGGGTACGTTTTTGTTGAGTTGAAGCGAAGCAATCGATACAGCTATAGGTCGGTATTCGCATCGTGTGTAACATCACTAACCTGACTTTATTGTATTCCTGTTGCCTAAGCTGCTAGGTAGCAGGTGTCCTGACAAAAGGGAAAATATCAAACCATTTTGCATTTGCTCTATGACATATGACAATAATATTATATGTAACATCGTTTTTTACTTAAATATCTCGAGGGTTTAATGACGTTAAACTCTCAGCTGCTAGCGGGGCTACTTAGCAAAGTTTGAAAGTTAAACTAGCTCAGGACCGTTACTCGTCAATAAGAATTTACCTAGCTAAAGTTACGTATTCATTATACATGGTAAAAACAAAATTAATAACAGAACAGCAACTTGATAAGGTTAATAAAAAAGTTGAAACGTTGTCTTACCAATAGTTGTCTGAACATTTTGGAAAACTTCTGTTATCGTAAACTAAGGTAAAGGCACTTACAGTAGGCACAGCACAAGGACGCACACTGACTGACAGTCTTCCCACAATCCATTGTTACTTCCGGTCTTGTGACACTGTTACAATTAGTGGGTCAAGTGTTTTATTTAGTTATTATATAATAATACGACTTATAATTATATAATGTATTACAATAAATAAAAAAGGACAAATACACCCTCAGAAAAGTAGTGGTAGTGATATGATTAAGTTATGGCTGTGATAGTGATATGCAAATAAAGAAAATCACAATTTACACAAAAACATTCACCAAGTTGTTTAATTGGACCCTAAAAACCTTGTATAAAACCCATAAATTTCAAATCTAAAGAATTTACTCAATTAACTTAAATCCAGAATGACATTTTGTAACAGAAAATAACAAACAAGTTGGTGACTTACAAATGTGACACTTTTAAAGTGCATATCATTTGGTCAACATTACAGAACGCAAGATAATCCAGCACTCAGGCCCAACTGTCAAAATGAAATAGTTGTTGTGCTCTCATCAGCCTGCGACGCTACCCAGAGAATTAGAATAATGAATACTGGATATAATAGTATACGATTATAATTCCACTTTTCCTTATTAATAAGCATCAGATTGTAATTTGAAAAATATGCCTTGTGAGTGGCTGAGTTTCAGTTACAGTGGAGGTAAATAATCACACTTTTGGTACTACGTAAGTATACTATGACTCGGCAAGCATAATATACTTCAAGTTAAATATCAGTGCTGCTATCGATTATTAACGGCACACGAGCAATGACTTTCCCCATTCTATGTTCAAGGTAATCTCAAAATCTGTAATGTATAATGGTACATTCATCAGCAGGACATACTACTACAGTACATAATATAGACAAAAACTTGCATTAAAAATACACACATCCTTCAGTAATTAAGCCATTCACAAAGCACTGCTAAAATAAAACAGACACTTTGATAATGTATAGATAAATAGAAGACAGGAAATGACATTCTCTGCAGCTGACATAAAGCTATATGCACACAGACACAGACTGTAGCATCTTTGATTTGCCTTAGTTGCCCAACACAAAAACACAGCTTTTGATGAGACACTAAAGACAATGCTGTCTTTACACAAACACACAACAAATGACTGAGACCAGTGTATTCACGCTAAAGTCAACAAGCAGTCCAGAACGGACCCTTTGGGTTCCCCTCATGCATGCATAGACGGGAAGAACGTGATAAAAGAGCAGTTTAGTTTGGAATATCTGCACTGTTGTTGCGGTTGTCATATTTATGGTGGATGATGAGCAGAACGACACCCAGGAAGAAGCAGATGGAGCCCACAGTGATGTAGGCAATGCCAAGGAAGGGGTTCTTCCCTCCCATCCAGGAGATGGTGCTCAGGATCATCCGCTTGCGACCATCAAAGCTGAGCACGGGGTAATCTGATGGTCACTTGGTTAAAAGAAAACATGCTGGAGATTCTGGATGCAAATTAATTTTTTTAACAGAGCTAACACAGCATGATTAACTAAGACAACATTTTGTAAAAAAACGTATATAATAGTATCACCATATCAATTTAAGCATATGATTTTAAATAATCTGAAATGTTGTTTTTATTAATAATTTTACCCGTGAAGTTTAACAAAAGGAAAGAAAAAGCATGCTAGTCAACCCTAGAGACTAGGGCTAGCTCTAATGTTGATGTGCAGTACAGTAATAATTCAAAGGATACTGTAAGTGACGTTCAAGAAGTATTTGCCACTGGGTAGAGTGGGGGTCGTGCTCGGCTTCTTCTGGATGATGCGATAGAGCTTGCGAAAGGTGGGCAGTGCCGCTGTACGCATCCACACGATGAAGTCCTCGTTAATGAAGCCGTTGTTCTCAGGATCTTCGGGGTCCAACTCGAACACTGGCTTCCTCCAGTTCACCGGCTTAGATGTGCCTGAGAAACAACAAGACAAAACAAAGGTGGTCAATGCACCTTAAGTGATTATGAGTGTGAAGAAATTATTGGCGCCAAGAACTGCAAACACAAGGACCAGTTTATGTCCTTGGCAGGGTCAAACTCTGAAGAAGTAAATTCTGGTTCTAAGACACAGCTCTGGTTGAAGTCCAAGCACAAGGAAGGGGCATGCCTTATCATACACTAAAATGATCAGAACATAATCTTAATGGGCCCTATGAATAATTCCCTATCAATGAGCCTAGAAGGTCATGTGCACTGTTTGCTGAAATCACCTTGAAAAGCTACAGTTAGGTTGTTGTTTCCACCAGGGTTCCTGAATTTCACATGTTTGTCCGTCCACCACGCAATTCCCTTCTTGACCAGAGGAATTTCATTAAAGGTGCCGTTGGAGTCGATGTGATACAGCTGCAGAGTGTCTGAAACAAACAAACATTACATCAATATTGTTCTATAATTAAGTGCTGAAGAGATAAACGTATGCAACTGATTTGTCATGTACTAAGCTTTTAGAAGAAGTTTAGACTTTAGTTACACACATGAGTAGCAATAATCCTGTGAAGGTACTTACCATTGAAAAGGCTGTTAGCTATGGCCCCACATGGAGCAATGGGCGATCCCTCACCTTTACGGTAAGGTTCACATTCCTTGCTGGGGCTCTGTAAAAAGAAAAATGGTTACTGATGCAAAAGGCATTTATTTTAATTTTGGCATGTTAAAATGTTTCAACATTTACAAAGATTATACCGTTAAAGCAGACCGGTCACCATTCAGCTGGCTGTCATCTCGGGACTTAACATAACGTCGGTGGTTCTGATAAAAGTTGGATAAGCCGTAGTACATGAAGACATTGCTCTGCAGGAGAGGAGAGATTGTGTTATAGACATTTAGAGTGCATCAGTTAAGGCCTGTAGACGGTACCTTAGTCAGGTTGCACTAAAGTGCTTTTATGGATCTTTAGCTCTATCTCTACAGATCCATTCACCACACACAGAACTTAATTTGTTAAACAATTGTTAACGAAAGATTCATGTGTAACAAACATAGGTTGTGTTCTCAGATAACAGATGTAATGTTTTCCTCAGTTTGATTTTAGTTTCACCCAAAAACAATAACTTTAATTTAAATAAACCTTAACAACAAATTTAAATATAAAGGAAGCTGTTAAGATCACAGGCACACAAATAAACCTAAAGAAACACTTGAAATAAAATTGGATGAAACTGGTGAGAGCTTTTATAAAAAAATCAATAGAAGCCTACTGGAAGTTACAGGACTGTATATTTTCAGACTACAATAATCAATGATAATAAAAGCTCCAAACAATCCTTGAGCCTGTCTTTCTTTGGACCTAAAATAGATCTTAATGGAGTTTTAATGTCATGAGTGCAGGTTCTCTCTTCTACAGCACTTCAAGCAACACTATCAGTTGTGAAGCTGAAGTCATATATTATTCATTAGGGCCGCATACTGCAGGATGGTGCTCACCTCAAATGGCTGCTCCAATGTGAACGGCACGGTGCAGACGCACTGTGCTGTGCTGTTCCAGCTGAAGTTCTTAGCACAGTTGTAGCATGGATTGTCAATGTTTGCACCAGTGTAGTCAATCTGAAAAGGAGGAGCAGATAAGTTAATAAAGCAGGTTTGAATATAATAAGTTTACCTAGAAACTAGATAAGCATAGGACCCTATCCATTATGCTTAGTAAAGAGTTGATTCAGTACAAGTAGATAAACTCATTTGAATACAAATGCCTTGAATTAACTTCCATATTATACAAAGGACAGCTTACAGGTCATTTTGGTTGGCTTCAAAATGTTGCGTTATACTTAAGTTTCTAACATTTTGATATAAATATGCTGACAAAATATTACTTATTATCATAATGCAAAACCACTCAGCAGAAGCACTTAAGAGCAGCCTGAGAATAACAATAATGTTCACATTACAAATGTTTTAAACAGTTTTCTGAAATATTACCTCCTTCCATTACAGTGTCTGTGTATTACACTGAAATCGTTTTAGCTAACTAGCAACAAAGTGTATAATACGCTAATGACAAAGGCTCAGTGTTCAGACATGGTAATTTAAAGGTGTCGTTTGTTATTTGTGTTCCTCTTCGTCGTTATACAACAGGTAAATAGGTTTAGCACTATATTTATCATATGGCCTGTTGTCGCCTCTTTTAGGGAATAGTGGGCTGGTTAAAATGGACTGTATAGAAAAACCTAGACGAACCTGGTCAGCGGTGGCTATAAAGTTAGCTGACAGGCAGACATGACCCTACCTCGAACTCTTTGATGTTGTTGGAAGTGACATACAGGCCGATGCCAATGGGGATGAAGATGAGTCCGATAACGAAGAAAGCGGGCAGCACGGTGCCAGCTGTCAGGATGGGCTGCCAGGCGGGTAGTCTCTGCTGTTTGAACGCTGTGTTGTCCGGCTTTTTACTTTTCACAACCCCTGCCCCTGCGTGATTCGCAGCACCGGGGTGGTTAGCGTCCTCTTCCTTAGCGTTGTAGCTTGACGCCATCATGGCTGCAATCCGCTTCGAGCTAAATACTCTACTGTAGTTGAGAGCCGGCAGCTCCTTATTAATCCCACACGGTGAAAACTACACAACACGCTAAGGCAAAGGGTAAAACTGTCTAAGGAGAGAAATGTACCCTCTATCTATTCCAAATGTCTACTCATTGTAGTGTTGATTTTTCTGTCTTGTTAATCTCACCTAAGAGGAAGAAGCCGGAAGTTTCCGAGCCAATGGGATGATGAAGCGTAGATGTTACATCACAGTGACGCCCCTTTCTCAGTGTCTGTTCTGCAAAATCAGCTGATGATAACTGTCAAGATATATGAGATTCCTGGTAAAAATGTGTAGGGGAGAAGGGGGTAAATTGAGCCAGTGGGTAAGTTTGAACCACCCCCTGTAACCAGGCAACGCCTTATAGTTGTAATCACGTGACCAGAAATTATGCAAGCTTCTCCCATTTATCATTGCCTGTGAAAGAGAGATGCTCATTGTGGTCTGGTAAGTAAACATTTTTACAAAAAAACGCTTTTTGCTTGTCAAAGTACATTTTC